GCGCCTGCCTGGCAAGTGCAAGGTCGTGAGTTCGGTTCCTGGTACCGGAGAAAAAAAAAAAAAAAAAAAAGACTTCCAGATGTAAGATCATGCCATAAATCCCATCAATGAAACTGATGACACTGTTTATATGCATGCTCTAAAGTCCTCTCCACACCATGACTCAACTAAGTAGTAACTATGGTATAGTTTTAACTACAGTGGGCATATTGAGTGTTATTAAAGTGAACCAACATTCATTCAACTCATTTTATGCCAGGTATTGTGCTAGGTACTCAGGATTCAGAGGGAATGAGAAATTGTTCTTGCTATTACAGCTTACAATTTAATGTGGGCAAAGAAGACTTGTAGGAGGTGGCGATATATGGCAAGCTAGGGTGAGGGGAGGTGAATATTGGCCCCAGTTTTAGGTGAAGACCCCAGTTTGAAAGCAGGCAGTAAGATAAGGCACAGCAAACATTTAAGCTGCGAGGGAAATGGCAGGAGATGAGCAGGATCCATTCCTATATGCTTAAGACTCTATCCTGGGAGTGAAGTGAAAAGTAAAGAATAATCTTAGGTAGGAAAGTAGTTTGGTTAGATCTGAACTTTGATGTCTTACTCTAAGAGCAGGCAGATGGATATAAGAGTGGTAAGGATGAAGGCAAAATGACTAGGTAAGGTGCTGAAAGGGGCCTGAGTATGGAAGTGACGGGAGGAAGGAAAAGAGGCAATTTGTAGGTCACACACTTGTTAATATCTGCTGATTTCTTAGCTGCGGGAAGTATGGGTGGAGAGGGGAACCATGGATGGGTAATGGGGTGGGTAGAGGAATATTCAACTGAGATGGAGAATACAAACTTGGAAAGCATTTCTCAGATTGTGGGGATATAAGGAGGCTGAGCTGTGTTTAAACACATTAAGTTTAAGATGACAGTGGGCCATAAAGTGAAAAGGCCCAGGTAAGATGCTGAGCAGAGTCTGCTACACAGATTTATATTTCAGAGACATCAGATAATTGGAACCATGAGATGAGACCATCCAGGGAGAAAAGAAAAGAGTACAGAGCTGAATGCAAAACTCTGGAGATCACTGGTACTTAAGAGGCAAGAAAGCAAGAGGAGCCCATTGAATGAGATGGTTAAGAAATGGCCTGAAAAAAGGAAGAAAGGAAGAAAGGAAGAAAGGAAGAAAGGAAGAAAGGAAGAAAGGAAGAAAGGAAGAAAGGAAGAAAGGAAGAAAGGAAGAAAGAAAGAAAGAAAGAAAGAAAGAAAGAAAGAAAGAAAGAAAGAAAGAAAGCGAGCAAGCAAGCAAGCCCAAAAAGTAAACGGAAAATCAGAAGAGTAAAGCTTTTGGCTGACCAAGTATTTTCTTTAATCAGAATTTGAACACCTTTAATTAAGACACACGCCTTCCAGTTCAACTAAGGACCCATCACTACTAAAGCTGCAGCATCTGTGAGCTGTCTTACTTACTTCTGAAGGCCTGTGTGTTTGTGACTCCTGGAGTAGAAGTCTCCACAAAAGAGGGAGTCGTAATTGTCAAATGCAGTACGGAGGACAGAAAGATAGGGAATGAAAAATGTCCACTGACTTAGCAAACAAGAAGATAATGGTGACCTTCACCTCATAGAGGTGAAGTCCTCTGTGCTTGAGGTTCAAGAATCTAGATCAGAGGAAATAAATATGGTTAAGATAGCTACTCTTACAAAATTTGGACAACAAGGAAAAGAAATTATGTAATAGCCAAAGGCAATTAGGAGGTTTTTGTCTTACTTCATTTTTTACAAATCAGGAAGATTAAATACATTTATAGTATGAGCTAATCAAGAAGTAGAAAGAGGTAGTATTTGGAGAGAAAGGGGCTCCCTGATGGGCAAGATCTATGCGGAGGCTGGAAGAGAAGGGTGTGGAAGGTACAAAAGGAGGGAAAAGCTTTGGATAAGTAGAAGAACTCCTCGAACTCTGAAGTTGTAGGAAGGCAGTGCAGGAATTTAGAGCTAATTAAGATCCAGTGCAGGTTAGCAGCAGGAGAGTGACATAATTAAACTGTTTTAAGAAAATTAGCTTGGCACAAGCATAGAGGATAGACTAGAGTGGGAAGAGGCAGCAAACAAACTGCCAATAATTCAAGCAGAAGATGCTGGTAACCCAAACCAGAGTGGTGCCAAATAGGAATGAAGAAAATGGAAAAAAGTCTACAAGACATTTCAAAAGATAATGATGACATAGTTCTAGGGAAGGTGGGCATAGGGTAATTCAAGGACAAGGAAGAGCCAATACAACTTTAAGATTTTAAATATTAACCTGAGAGATAGATCAGAACGGTGGTACCAGGGTCAGAAACGGAGCAACTGGAAACACAGCCAATGTAGAAAGGAAAAAACTGTTAGGCTTAAGAAAGACCGAGTTTGAATCAGGTTTAATACATTTATTACCTTAAACATCTATCACTTCTTAACGGTGAAAACCTTCAAAATATTTTCTTTGAGCTTTCTGAAATGTGTATGGCAACTAGTCATGGCTCTCACATTTTCAACTGACAAAACTAAAGTCCTCTACAGAATAAACACTACAGAAAATGAAAAAACATCAAGGGTGAGAGAGAATAAGAAATATTTCATTCAGACAAGGATAAGGCTGGGGATGTAGCTCAGTGATAGTGTTTTCCTAGCATATGCAAGGTCCCGGTTTCAATCTCCAGCATCACAAAAAACAAAAACCCAAAGAGAGCAGCTAGGGCAGGGGGCTGGAGGTTTAGCTCACAGCGCCTGCCTGGCAAGCGCAAGGTTGTGAGTTCGATTCCCGGTACTGGAAAAAAAAACAAACAAACAAAAAATGAACAGATAGGGCATAGAGTTTAGGGCAACTCAAATATTCCTATGCCAGAAAAAATTAAACAGAAGTTGGTATTTTACTGTTTTTATTGTTGCAGTGCTGGAGATTTCCTAAGAATATTACTTCACCTGATTTAAAGAAGGTTTTACTACCATAGCCTGTTTCTCAGAGTCAGCAAAAGTTTCTCCTAAAGTTTTAATCATTTCTTCAAATCCCAGACATTTAGCATCAAATGTGTTTTCTAGGTGAAAAAATGTGTACAATAAAACTAAATAAGTTTCCAAACTTGACACACTGTCTAGTGATACAAGAACTGGCTGGTGCTTTTATAGTTTCGGCTTTAATCAATTAAACTAACTGTTCAGAATTCTAACTCCAGAATTCTTATTTTGAGGGCCTGGGTAAACCAAGTGCCAGAGCTCTGCTTTTAATGAAGGAAATAAGTTGGCAAGTACTTCACCATGGTTGTATGGAGAGTAGAATGGCACCACAAATAAGTTTCAGGGAATTTAATTTCTGTTTCCTTGCTCCTTAATTTTAGAAAATAATTGGTGGAGTTGGGATGCTGGAATGAAAACTGTGGGGCTAGAATAAGATACCTTTGCTCAGGTTATATAAAATAATCTGCATGAAAGGAACCTTCCCTGCAAGAATCAATTACAGTAGCTTGAGTACTAAATCGCATCCCCCTACCTACAGGAACAGATGTAAAACAGCACGGTAAGCTGGCATCTGAACATAGTAGGTTACCTGTAAAATTCTTGGATGAAGGAAATTTTTCTTTAAATTGCCTAATTAAAAAACAGGTCTAAAACCCTTCCTAAATCCTTCTACAATTTCAAAATCTTTGTTAATACATTTTATGCAAAGATTACAAAAGTGTATCACAGTCAAAATACTCAACATCTTTTAAAAAAAAATAAAAACTAATACCATGGAGGTCGTACATACCAGATGATTTCATAAAATATAAACAATTCAAAGTCAGAGGGTCTAGGTGAGCCATCATCAAAATTATAGACAGTATAACAGGAAAGAACAGGCCTATTTTGAAACTGCAGTAAAGCACAGTTAAGAGAATGGATATAACAGAATAATCAAACTTCCAAGTATTTACAATCCAAGCAAATAAAAAAGTGGAAGCATTCTTCAAAGACCAAAAAAATACCAATTTTTTCTTCTTGCTTGGCAACCAATCTCATGAAGCAACCCCCCCATTTTATTTTCTTAAATACGATCCAAGATTTCAATTTGTTTTTAAAAAACGCCATCCTGGATAAATTTTCAAGAAGTCATCCTCAGCTCCTGGAAGATTAATTTCCATACATATTTAATTTTCATAAATTTAGTATTTGGTCATACAAAATCCCCTGGAAGTATCTTAAATCATCTCAGAGCTGACAGGTTTTAGAAATCATGTATATGTCTCAATTCCCCAAGATGGGTGTAATTATTATGTATCCCAAACATATACCAATTAATTTTTTAAAATCTATTCCAACTCCTCATTTTAAAGGTAGAGAAACCAGGCCCAGTAATAGGAAGCAATCCACCAAGGTCACAGGGCCAGGAAAAAGTAAAACTGACTAGCATCACCAACTCCTGAAGCTATAGTACTTATCAATCTGAACCTCTGATGGTGTAATATTTAAGGCACGTTCAGAGTGAGTGGCGCTCTAAACAGGGAAAGGATGATTGTATTCATTCATATAAAGATTAGATAGGAAGGGATGATGAATACGTGGGTGGATGGATATTTATAATATTCACAAAACATATCTCTGTTTTCAAGAATCCAAGCCTAGTTCTTGTCACATGTCACAGCAGTAGCTGTTTTCCAGCAGACTCTTATCTTGGCAGCAAGCAATCCTCTCGTACACCCTGCAGTTTGGAGACTATGCACTTGCCAGCATACACACAAAAAAAGGAAGACTCACCCCACCACCACCCCAGTACCTCTGGCTCTCAAACCCCTGACTTCCCTGTCTTGCATTTGGTCCATTAACACATTCTCCTCACCTCCTTCACACCTATTCCCTCTCGGTTTCTCCATTCAGCGCAGGTGTCCTTTCCTAACTGCGCCCCTCAATCTCCCATCCCCCACCCCCTGCCCCCCATCACCTTCTTATTTTCCCTGCCGCCAAAGCTCGGCCTTTTCAGACCCCAAGGCCCCTTCTCGCTTACACAGTGATATGGCCGGCGCCCCGCACCAGCACAGGGTCGGGGGCATATCTCCGCAGATGCTCCTCGCTCACTACCCGAGGTGGGGGCGGCGCCTCCTCCTCTACCCCTTCCTCTTCGTCCTCCTCCTCCTCCTCCACCTCCTCCTCCTCATCATCTTCCTCGTCATCGTCGGGCCCAGACACCGACGACGACGACGACGGCGACGACGACGACGACGTTGCTGCTTCTTCCTCCTCCTCCTCCAGTTCCGAGATGGTGTCGAACTCCGCCATGTTGGGCAGCAGGATGCTCATCACGTGACCTCGTGATCGCCGCCACTCTCACCGAGAAGAGTTTGAACCTGCGGAGGTGCAGGAAGAGGAGGGGGAACTGAATAAGGAGACAGGAGAGGGAGGTTGGGACTAGACTTCAGGAGACGCGCCTGCGTCTTGGGCAGACGGAGGGGGGATGCTGGAGGCGGGGGCAAGCGGGAGGTAGCAGCCAATTCGCTGTACGCTTGCGCGGCTCCAAGGGGAGGGGGCCCTTCGAGGTGAACTCCAGGGAATTACGGACGTGCGGTCTGCAGGTGCAGGTCTTAATACTGTCTCTGAGAGATGTGCCTTTTGGTTTTAGTTTCTATTAACTAAAACGTGGTATTATTACACTCAGTGCAAGCGGTCGAAGGAAAGCAGTTTTATAAAAGTGAGCGTAGAACTGTGCCCAGAATATCTCCTTGTTTGTTCAGTATTACAGTTTAAGAGACTTTTTGGCTTAGAACCATGCCACAACCCAGAGAGGCTAAGGATTTTTATCAATATTTTATTAAAAAACAGGAACTTTCTATTACTTCTACTGTGTAGTACGTATGGAGGATTTCCTAATCACCAGGGACTGTGCTAACCTTCCATGTGCGTATCTCAATCCTGCACAAGACTATGAGGTATGTACCATGATAATCTCATATAACAGATGAACATCTAGATACAGAGAGAGTAAAGAACTTTTCCAAGAGCATGGAACCACTAAATGTCAGACATAGTTTTAAATTTGGGAGTCTTCTGATTCCAAAAGCCCAGTACATTTTTCTTTTCAGTACTGTGGATTGAACCCAGGGCCCTTGCACTGAGCTACATCCCCACCCTCTTTTAATAATTTTTTAAAAAAAAATTTTGACAGAGGGTCTTGCTAAGTAGCTACATTGCCTTGTGATCCTCCTGCCTTAGCTTCCCAGAGTTCTGGGATTAGAGGGACACACCATCACACCCAGCTAAGCCCAATACTCTTTTTTTTTTTTTTTTTTTTTTAGAAATTAAAGGAGGAAAGTACTAACAGACCGACAACATTTTACAAAATAGCATAGGATCAGTACAGACATTACAGAGTTACAAACAGAGTGGTAGGGAATTAACAATGCTTATTGTATTACATATTGATATCTTCAATGTAGTTTCTCATGAAAACACATATAGACATACAAAGCTAATCAACCAATGCCTCACTGACAGTTTCTTTCAGCAAGGAAATACAGGACAGTAGAACACCCATGTTAACTATCCTGCATATACATATATACAAACTTTCTCCTTCTTTCCCTTCTCTTTTCCATTATCCCAGTTATGCTTTACCTATGAGTCCTTTCCTATCAATTCTCAATGTCTATCATATCTCCTAGATTAAATTAACTCTTTCAGGCTTTACACTAGAGCAACAATGCGGTGCTTGCAAATGTATGTTTGATTTATTTCGCTTATGAGTATGGTCTCTAGTTGTGACCATTTGCCTATAAAAGCCTCGAGTTTATCTTTCTTTACAGCTGAGTAATATTCCATTATATAAAAGTACCACAATTTTCTTATCCAATCCTCAGTGGATGGACATTTGGGTTGCTTCCACATTTTAGCAATTACAATAAGCCCAATACTCTTAAACAAAGGGCTGACCATACTACCTAAAGTTCTTTGAAAAGGCTTAGTAGAGTAGTTCATTTTTGGACTATTTCTTAAAATAAGGATATCCTTATTTTGGGGCTATTTCTTAAAATAAGGAATATTTTGGGCTATATCCTTATTTGGGCTATTTCTTAAAATAAGGATATCCAGGTTTGAATTTGGAGGGGGAAGTATAGGAAGCATTCTAATTTAAAGAAACATTAATTAAGAATTTGTGTTTTCCAAACACTGAACTGCACTGCTTCATACACAATATTTCGCTTAACTCTTAGATAATCTTGTGGGGAGGCATCATTATATCTATTTTTCAGATGAAGCAACTGAGTCTCTATAGGAAGTTTAATTTATTCAGATGTATAGTGACCTTTTGTCCAAAATTTTCCATTTCAAACGTTGTATCCTATCTTCTCCACACCACTAAAGTGTTGTAAAGATCACATATTTTGAGTTTCCAAATAATGTGCCAAACTGGTTCATACTTGGCAGCAACATAAAATCTGTCATTAAGGCAGTAAAATCACAAAGCTGCTAAATAACAATAAATATACAGACAGGCATTCTAATACCAGCTTCACTGATCTTGCTGCTGTAATTTAGAATGAACATTGTATTAACAGTTTAACAAAGTATTTAGGGTATATAAGGGAGGAACAAATTAATTCTGTGAGAGGAATGGACTAAACTATTATTATCAAGGAGTTTGTGTTACTGAAGTGAAAATTCTTCCATTCTATTCAATAGCTTGATTATTCAGGAACTTTAAAAATGAGTTGTAACTCTCAATAGCATGAAAATTGAGCTTTTTGTATTAGTGAAAACTTGACCAACAAAAACATTAATAGAACAAGGAATCTTAAAATATTTCAGAACAGGATTCTGGCAAGACATATATATACCTTTCTTCTGTGTTAATGATTGCATCGTGTAAACTGTTGGAGTGAAATAGTGTTGGTATTAACTATAGTGATAGGTCCCAAGAACGAGGTGCCCGCGGATGAGTAAGAAAAGGTAAAAGAGATAAGAAAAACAATAGAGCTAAAAATCAGGGCTCAGGGGGCTTACAATCTCTCGGACTGAGGCGGCCTCAATCACCCATCTCAATCACCTTTTATTAGAACAAAGAACATAACTAAAACCAACAGGAGAAATTCATTATCCCTTTCCAATTCTGCCTCTCAGCTGATGAAACAATAAAAATGACACACAATTTTGAATCAAGATGATAGGAAAATAATGATGGTTGTTATTTTACATATTGTTATCTTCAGAGAAGTTGCTGAGATTACCAGATATAGGTACATAAGATTGATCAAACAAATAAGCACTAAGTGTTCCTTTTAATACACCAATAGAAATTAATAGTACAATTATGTTAGCTATCTTTTATCTTTTGGTACCGGGAATCAAATTCAGGACCTTGCACTTGCCAGGCAGGTGCTTGTGCTGCTGAGCTATATCCCCAGCCCATGTTAGCTATCTTGTATATATCTATATCTATATATATCTATATATTTCCCTTCCTTCTTTTCTCCTTTCCCCCATCCCAGTTGTTCTTTCCTTTTAAGAACAGATGAACATAACAATGAAACCGAGTTTCAAAGCAGGTTATAAGGACAGTTACAATAGTTGATTCATTGTGTATTGTTGTCTTCCTAGTAGTTATTCAGAGTAGAAGCTATAGGCATGATTTCTTGTCTATACAATATTAGCACAAAATTTTCTTTTTAATGAACTGAGAGAATGTAGCTGTGTAACAATCTTAACTATCTTGTATATACATGTATTTTTTCCTTTCTTCATTTCCCTTTTCCCCCATCATAGTTTGTCTTTTTTTTTAACAGTTTTTTCCCAATTCACAATATCTATTGTACATTTTGGACCTTATTTACTTATTTTTTCATACCAGTGAGATAATACAGTGTTTACACATGTAGGTCTGATTTATTTCACTTATCAGTATGGTCTCAAGTTGTATCCCTTTACCTATAAAAGACTCCATTTTACCCTTTTTATGGCTGAGTAATACTCCATTACACTAAAAAAAAAATCTTTTTTATCTATTCTTTGGTTGATGGACATCTGGATTGTTTTCAATATTTAGCTATTACAAATTGTGCTGCTATAAACATGGGTGCACATATATCACTGTGGTACGATGATTTTAATTCTTCTGGGAAGATACCCAGAAGGGGAATAACTGGATCAAATGGGACCTCCAATCCAAGTTTGGTGAGGAATTGCCACACTAATTTCCGCAATGGTTTTACCAGTCTACACTCCCACCAACAGTGGAGAAGGGTCCCTTTTTCTCTGCAGTCTCTCCAGCATTTGTTATCAGTTGATTTTTTGATGATAGCCATTCTTTCTGGGGTGAGACAGAATCTCAGTGTTGCTTTAATTTGCATCTCTTGAATTACCAATGATGTTGAACATTTCTTCATGTACTTATTTGCCATTTGCTTTTCTTTATCTGAGACATGCCTATACATCTCCAATGTCCACTTTGGGATTGGGTCTTTGAATTTGGGGGGCCTGATTTTTTTTCAATTCTTTATATGTTCTGGATATAAGTCCTTTGTCTGTGGGACAACTGGCTATAATTTTTCCCACTCTGTTGGTTGTCTTCATTGATGATTTTTTTGTTGTGCAAAAGCATTTTAGTAAGGTGAGATTCCATTTGTTGATTCTTCCTACTATATCCCTTGTGATCTGGGTTTTATTCAAGAAGTCTCTGCCCACACCTATGTCTTTGAGAAGTCTACCTACATTCTCTTCCAGTAGACTTAGTATTTCTAATTTAATATTTAGATCCTTGGTCCACTTTGACTTTAGTTTAGTGCATGCTGATAGATACGGGCCTAGCTTTAGTCTTCAGCATGTGGAAAGCCAGCTTTTCCAGCACCATTTTTTTTTTTTATTTTAAAGATAAAAGGAGGGAAACATTAACAGACATACAACATTTTACAACATATCACAAGCACAATACAGACAATACAGAGTTACAAACAAAGTGG